TTAATGGGGGCTTCCAGAAAAATGGGGGCTTCTGGAGGAAGCGAAGGCATATCGATGGAGTCAAAGAAGTCATGCAAATCTTTTACATCTACTGTAGATTCTGACGTAAATAATTTAGAGTAAAATGAAGAGAAAATGTCATTAATCGCCTTCTGATCTGTAGTCATCACTCCATTGTCCGCCCTCACTCCTGTTATTTGTTTAGCTCTCATGCCGCACAGTCGATTAGCCAAAAGCTTACAAGTCTTTCCACCATGTTCGTAAAATTCACTCTTGTTCCTTCTTCTTTGGCTCTCAGCGAAGGCGGTCGCACTTTTCTCCTCTTCTCTCCCTTATCTTCCCTGCTTAGCTCCTCATGTCCTTGTCTTGTCTCATGTTTTTTATTACTTTCTTTGGAACAGTCTCTCACAGTCTGTTCTTTAAAACCTAAAAGAGAATTATGGATTTGATCAACTGGTCTCTGAATGCTATTGACACCCTTTAACGAGAAGTCTGGGCTCGGGAGAGCCCGAGTGCCCTGGAGGGACTTTCCCTGCCGGATACACGATGGACGGGTGGCAGAGGGTCGTGTGCCTGGCGGGACTGTTGATCGAGGACGCTGAAGATATGTACCTATTCGGAACCATGATAACAGGGTTCTTGCTGATCGGAGCTGGCTTGGCCCTGGCTTATCGGAGAATTAAGACAGCGGAACCGGCTGTTCAAATCCCCACAAGGCTGCCCGCTGGGATTGGAACGACAGGTGCGACTTCTCAGAAAGGGCTCACTGAAGGCAGCATGGTTAAGAGCTTGGAGGCGCTTACGACTGCAGTGAATGCTCAGAATAACACCTTTGAGCGTATGTATGTTGGATTACATCAGGAAAGAATCAACTCAGAACAACATCTCTGGGTGGAGCTGGATTACATCTTGGATCAGTTGGCTGCAGTCCTGAGGTCTCAGAATCTGCTATGTGAGCAAAAAGAGTGACAAGACCACAGAATCAACGGCTAATAACATCACGGAGAAGCTCGCAGCTATTAACGGGAGATTGAGAGACCAGTGTCAGAGTGTTAAAAACAGCTTGAAATTCTCACGAGTTGTTTGCAAAAGAAAAATTACCATCATAATGCGGCTACCCCTTCGGTGCCAGCTGTGGGCTCAAGGCTGGAGCTGAACAAAACTCCCTGATAACGACTGTGTTGAGTCTGTTCCTTCCCATTCCATGCAAGGCCACCTGGGTTGGCTGGAAGACTGTTTACTTAGCCTGGCAGGGCGAAGGACACAGTCTTGTTACACCCCAGCCCAGGGAAAACTGGCGTGCAACATAAGGAAAATAAAAATAAGGAAAAATGCCCCCCCACTCCCTGCTCTTAAGGAGGACGAACCAACAAAAAACAGCTACCACGGATTTCACAACAGCCAGTCAGTTTATTGAGTCCCAAAAGGTAGCAAGCATCAGGGTGAGCATGGCCAAAACAACAAACAAAAACTCTAGAAATGAAATGCAGCTGGCTTACCTTCACAGAAAACCCCAAACGAAAATTATAGGTGTCTTACCTGCCTCCCTAACCAAAAACAGGAGAAAAGGTTCCCAAAGAAAAATGGCTTCTCACCCCTACAGCTACCGAGTAAAAACAGTATCGACAACTATTTACATCTATATACAACAAACTATTTACAACACAGGGGGAGATCACGACCCATGACAAACTGAAACACAGGGCTTAAATACATAGAGGGAACAATCAGGGAATGGACAACAGGAGGGAAACACAGCTGGGGCAAATCAGAACTAACGAGACAAGGAAGCGTAACCTGAACACACTGAGATAAGACAGACCTTCAAAGTAAAACAGGAAACACATAACAGTCACGCCTAAAACAAAACACTGACAACATTGAATTGTAACAGTCTCAGCTGAACTATGGACACGCACACACATACACTTACACTGATAAGCACGCACTCATCCCCCTCCCTTTCCAAACGCCTTCGATGCTTGTTTCCTGTGGGGGAACACGGCGGGTCTGTGTGCCACGCTGGAATGGTAGCGCTGTGCAGGGCGGCTGCTGTGTTCGCTTCGGATTACTCCTCACCCCCCACCCAATCCTGTGGCTTGTCATGTCTTTCACAATGTTGTGCTGTGGACATTTATGTGCCCTGCATGTGGCGAATAAAGCTTTGATTGATTGATTGATTGATTGATAATCAGACATCCTTCCACTTGCTGAGTTGAAAGTAGGGTGAGTTTGGTTTGTAAGCTCAGGCGTTCTTTGTACAGCGCCGGTCATGGTGATTGACCGTACTGCCTGTTGATGCTCATAATCTGGTCTGAAATAAGCCTCTGCTCCCATTGTGCACACTGTCTTTGAGATGCTGCCAATTAAATTATTTCTCCTCTCAGGAACGCCTTTAAAGCCTCCCATACCGTCCTGTTTGGCATACCAGGTGTTCCATTCTCACTAAGTAACGTTTTAATTTTACAAGAAATATTAAAGACAAATTGTTCATCTGTGAGCAACAATGGATCCAACCTGCAGATCTTTCTCACAAACTTACAGCCCAAAAACAACAACAACAAAAAAACATGAAAACCAACCCCACCCGAGAAATAAAATACAATAACATGCCACAACGTAAAGGGAACTAAAACAATACCAACCACCAATATTACCTCAGCAGGTTGCATTGAACAGCAACTGCCTAAGCCCCTGCTCGCTTCCCATACTAGCTAAGTACTCCCCCGTACCACTACCACGTACGCCTTGTACCTGCACCATTAAACGTTAACCCCTAAACTTAAAGCAGGGCCCATATTTAAAGGTGATGAAGAAGAGAAACAAAACACAACAAGACCAAAGCAACCACACAACAAACAAGTTTTCCTTAAAATGAACAGCAAAGAACACAATACTATACTAACGGCACGGCTGTACAGTATCAGTCAGATCGAGGGTGCTGCGCAGACCAGTCTGACCTATTATACTGGTGATTTAAGGTGAGTGCACTGACCGGCTACAATAGCCACCTCAGGATGGAGAGCGTTGGTCTTCCTCAAAGGATTAAATAAAGTGGGTAGCCTCATCAACTGACTCCGGTTGACGGTTATTTCCATCTGGAAGAGTAATCCGAAGTATGGCGGGGAAGAATAGGGAAGGTTGGAGGCCTCTCCTATACAACTCGGCCATAACATCCTTATACTGGGCTCGCTGATTTTCGAAGTCTGCGTTGTAGTCCATTTAGAACTGGAGCTTGTGTCCACAGTACTCAGTTTGCTGTGGACCCAGATCCACTGATTCCGGCAAACCCACCAGACGAATGTTTGGCCCTCTGCTTCTGCTCTCCAAGTCAGAAAGTTTAGTTTTGAAAAGTTTGTTCTCCCCCTCTCTCCCCCTTCACATTTAGTCCATCTTGTCCAGCTTACCATTAATTACATCAAGATGTAGGCTTAACATCTGCAGCTATGGCTGTTCTGTGCTGTTCAAGCAAGGCGACAAGCGCCGGGTTCAGGGCAGCACTAGCGCCACTCTCAGCAGCAGTTTTCTTCTCAGTTTGTCTTCTTACCTTGGACATCTTTTAAGTGTCATACTTATTAAAGGCCCCCAAACATACATGTCTAACAGCAAAGTGGGGATCAGGAAGTAAAATAATAAGAGTTAAGCAGGTGCTAGTAGCTGACACACCTTACCCCACTGCCAGAAAAATGAAATCCCCATAAGTAGTTGTCAATGCAGTGGAAACTCTCCTGAGTCATGGCTCGTGTTGGTAGCTCTCCACAAAACAGCATGTCTTCATGTAAACTGCTGTCCCAGCAATAATGTACAAAAGCCAGAAACAATGCACCATTCGTGACCAGTGTTGTTCAAATTACTAAAAAAAAATGTAATTAGTCACTTATTACTTCTCCAAAAAACCAATCCTGTTACATTACTGATTACTTATTTTCAAATGTAATTAGTAACTTATTACTCAGTTACTTTTTAAAAACATGATACACAACCTGAATATGTAATATAAAGCAACAGACCTTTCAGCCCAATTCTATTTTTTTCTCCATAATCCATCATATCAAACTGAATCTAATGAAAAAGTCTCTTCATAAACTTGTTTCATTAGTTTTAATCTTTTAACTTTATGCATCAAGCAAAATTAAATTATATGCAACAGTCTTTGACTTGAAGAAATTCTTTAACATTTAAACTTATTTTTTGCATATTCCAGCATATAAAATAAAATGTTTTGTGTTTACACTCTTTCAAATAGATGCAAGTAAAACACAGTCGAAAATAAATTAAATCAAAGATTCAGCAGCACTTCTATAGTCACCTGTTTAGCAGGAGTGGGGCGGGTGGAGGTTTGCCCACAGCAGTCATGTCAGTGGGGGCATCTGGGGGTTTCTCTGTGAGTGTCACATTCCCGTGGCAGCCCGCTCGCTGCACGCTCAGATTTGAAATTTAATTTTTCGCTGTAGAAAGAAGTTTTCTTCCCATGCAGAGTGCACTGCAGACGCTAATGTTTCTGTCACTTTTTACAGAATCAAACTCAAAGTAATGTGAGTACTTCCAAGCTTTAATCGCTGCATGGTTGTACTCTCTCCATCGCTCTATATTTTCCAATGTCACTTTTATCTTCATTTTTGTGTTTTGAGAACTTCTCCATATCTTTTAATAACTCCAAATGACAGGCAGAGTGTCTTCTTCTGCTTGCTTATTGAGGCTGATTAAACAACTCCCACCAAGTGGGCTTCATCCACTACTTTCAGGAACAAGCTGCACATACAAAATCTATCACACTGAAAACATGCTGCACATAAAAATATCAGCGCAAACACGGTCCTTCAGCTGATTTTACCTGTCTTGAAGTTTCTGTAAATGGCAGCATGAAGTTGGAGTGCTACAACTGTAAAAAACATCTCTCTCTCTCAAGACACACTGACACAATGTTCAGCAGACCTTTCTCTTCTCTTCATAGTTAAACTCCTTAAACATGAAGTCAGTGATGTTGCTTTCTGACTCACCTCCTCCTCCTGTCAGCATCATGGTGGGACTGACAGATGACCTCCCCATCCTGCTGGAAACCGGACTCGACTGTCCATCTCTGTCTTTACTGTCATGTCTGGACTTGCCATCTCCTACAGAGGCACAACAACATCAACTCAGTAAGTCCTGAAGAGTCAGTCAAAGTAAACTTTATCGTCATCTCTGCCATATACAGTACAGTATACAGGGAGTGCAGAATTATTAGGCAAGTTGTATTTTTGAGGAATAATTTTATTATTGAACAACAACCATGTTCTCAATGAACCCAAAAAACTCATTAATATCAAAGCTGAATGTTTTTGGAAGTAGTTTTTAGTTTGTTTTTAGTTTGAGCTATTTTAGGGGGATATCTCTGTGTGCAGGTGACTATTACTGTGCATAATTATTAGGCAACTTAACAAAAAACAAATATATACCCATTTCAATGATTTATTTTTACCAGTGAAACCAATATAACATCTCCACATTCACAAATATACATTTCTGACATTCAAAAACAAAACAAAAACAAATCAGCGACCAATATAGCCACCTTTCTTTGCAAGGACACTCAAAAGCCTGCCATCCATGGATTCTGTCAGTGTTTTGATCTGTTCACCATCAACATTGCGTGCAGCAGCAACCACAGCCTCCCAGACACTGTTCAGAGAGGTGTACTGTTTTCCCTCCTTGTAAATCTCACATTTGATGATGGACCACAGGTTCTCAATGGGGTTCAGAGCAGGTGAACAAGGAGGCCATGTCATTAGTTTTCTTCTTTTATACCCTTTCTTGCCAGCCACGCTGTGGAGTACTTGGACGCATGTGATGGAGCATTGTCCTGCATGAAAATCACGTTTTTCTTGAAGGATGCAGACTTCTTCCTGTACCACTGCTTGAAGAAGGTGTCTTCCAGAAACTGGCAGTAGGACTGGGAGTTGAGCTTGACTCCATCCTCAACCCGAAAAGGCCCCACAAGCTCATCTTTGATGATACCAGCCCAAACCAGTACTCCACCTCCACCTTGCTGGCATCTGAGTGGGACTGGAGCTCTCTGCCCTTTACCAATCCAGCCACGGGCCCATCCATCTGGCCCATCAAGACTCACTCTCATGTCATCAGTCCATAAAACCTTAGAAAAACCAGTCTTGAGATATTTCTTGGCCCAGTCTTGACGTTTCAGCTTGTGTGTCTTGTTCAGTGGTGGTCGTCTTTCAGCCTTTCTTACCTTGGCCATGTCTCTGAGTATTGCACACCTTGTGCTTTTGGCCACTCCAGTGATGTTGCAGCTCTGAAATATGGCCAAACTGGTGGCAAGTGGCATCTTGGCAGCTGCACGCTTGACTTTTCTCAGTTCATGGGCATTATTTTGCGCCTTGGTTTTTCCACACGCTTCTTGCGACCCTGTTGACTATTTTGAATGAAACGCTTGATTGTTCGATGATCACGCTTCAGAAGCTTTGCAATTTTGAGACTGCTGCATCCCTCTGCCAGATATCTCACTATTTTTGACTTTTCTGAGCCTGTCAAGTCCTTCTTTTGACCCATTTTGCCAAAGGAAAGGACGTTGCCTAATAATTATGCACACCTGATATAGGGTGTTGATGTCATTAGACCACACCCCTTCTCATTACAGAGATGCACATCACCTAATATGCTTAATTGGTAGTAGGCTTTCGAGCCTATACAGCTTGGAGTAAGACAACATGCATGAAGAGGATGATGTGGACAAAATACTCATTTGTTTAATAATTCTGCACTCCCTGTATAGAGAGACGAGATGATGAGGCTCCAGTTCATTCAGTGCAAAATAACAACAATAAATATAGGAAGAGTAAGACATAAATATGCACTTCAAGACTAAGGTAAGGGGAGATATACACTTTGCAGTTGTATGTTGTTTGTTGGTATTTGTCTACAGCAGCAAAAGAAGCTGCAGAGGAAGTAAAGAAACACTCAGTTCCTGTGACATCAGACCTTGACCCATTAAACCTATTATCAAACCAAACCATGCAGCTTATCAATTTGCAGTCCACTTCTTCTTATACACAATATACTATGCAATATATTCCACCCCTGCCTAAAGACAGTCATATTTATTCTGCCAATGAACATTCAGATAGTTGCTGTGAAAGATGAGTGCATCTGACCTGCTCTTTCGTTTATGGCATGTAGTCTGTTTTATCTCAAGAAATAACTCTGTGATCTTTTTGTTGTCCATGTTAAGACGTACTTTCACCATAGCAGACCCACGTCCATCTTTACAAAGGAGTTGAGTGTCAGAGCACTTGGAATCTCTGAGCACCACATTTCAAATGTCCCAGAGGTGTAAGTTAAAGGGGGACGGAGCGACTGCAGGTGCAGTGTCTGTGGTGCTTCAGCATCTGGATAGCGGTATAGAAGAGGAGCAAGCATAAAGGGAGTAACTTTTTTTTAAGTGTCAGGTAATTTCAAATGCTATGTTTTTATGAGTTTAACAAATATCTGCAAACACACAAACTGTTTGTGTGCAGTCTTTGCAGTGAGTTGCTAGCTAAAGATATAGCTGCTGCATTTCCAGGAAGAGAAAAAAATGAGAGCTAACTCAGAAATGATAGTAAAGCTAAGAGCTTTTCAGGGGCATTAGATGAACTGTAATTTAAAAATTAAATGTAATTGTCTTGATGCTCAATTACCCAAGTGAGGAACTCCCACAGAGTTGATTCTGTTCATCTGGACGTTTCAGTAGGAGAAACGGTTCATCAGGATCAGGTGACTGCAGGTTCAAACCTTATAAACAGGACATTTGTACAATGACTGAAACTAGCACCACTTACTGAACAATGGGCTTGGAGGTCTGTTCTGCCTTGAGTTTAGTGCCCCCTACTGGGCCTTGTAAATTGTTGTTAATGTGCATGCACTTTGACCAAGAACAAGAAGTCAGCCATGTTAGTTGGGGTAAATGGCCTGTAGTTATATAGCGCTTTACTAGTCCCTAAGGACCCCAAAGCACTTTACATATCCAGTCATCCACCCATTCACACACTGGTGATGGCAAGCTACATTGTAGCCACAGCCACCCTGGGGCGCACTGACAGAGGCGAGGCTGCCGGACACTGGCGCCACCGGGCCCTCTGACCACCACCAGTAGGCAACGGGTGAAGTGTCTTGCCCAAGGACACAACGACCGAGACTGTCCGAGCCGGGGCTCGAACCGGCAACCTTCCGATTACAAGGCAAACTCCCAACTCTTGAGCCACGATCGCCCCGATAGACTCCATGCGACGATGTGTTGCACTGCATGAGGCAAATGGTGGTCACACCAGATACTGACCGGTTCTGGGTCCCCAGACCCCCAATAGCGCAAAAAACTGCACATTCCAGGGTGGCCTTTTGTTGTGGGCAGTCTGAGGTACACCTGTGCACTACTCATGATGTCAGATCAGCATCCTGATGTGGCACACCTGTGAGGTGGGATGGATTATCTCAATATAGCAGATGTGCCCACTACCACACATTTGGACTGATTTGTGACGACTGTTTGGGAGGGATGGTTATATTGTGTATCTGGAATGAATTTTAGGTCTCTACGTCCATCCCATGGGGAATGGGAGCAAAAACAAAAGTGTTGCATTTATATTTTTGTTCAGTGTAAGTTGAAGGGTTCCTGTAATTGTCTGCTGCAATCCTCTTTCTTGTTTATGCCTTCAAAAGCATTGTCTTTTCACTGTGATGCAATGGTGTATGGTAGTGCAATGTAAAATAAGTCACCTGGAGCTTGGATGCTATATCCTGACTCCCGTATCCTTTTGAATGGAGTTTGGCTGGCTGCTGAATTGTGTACATACGCACATATGCACACACACAAGGAGAGCAGTACAGTGAAAAGACGAATACCCAGATGGCTAAACTATACTATTGCAGCAGATTGCAGAGAACATGGACAAAAAATGTAGGAGAAGCCCTTCTGTCACGGCAGGGTGCGCCGGATTGGTTTGACTTCAGGACCCAGATGCAGATGCAGAGAGAAAGGCGTTGCAGGAGACGTGACGTGTTTTTAACCAAAAGCGAGCTTTATTTAGCTGGCTGCAGACAAAACATGAAACTAAGAAAACAAAGAGGAATGTGAACACTGTGTAACTAAAAGACTATGAAACTCAGTGAAAAAACTATGAAGAAACCATGAACACTGAGTAACTATCAAACATAGTGAAGACAAAAACCTATGACACTCTATGACTGAGAGATGACAGACAACACGACGCTGAACACAGGAATATGAAATGCCGTAAGGGACATTATTGCTGAAACGCTCTCACACACACTACTGAAACGCTCTCTCACACACAACTGAAACGCTCTCTCACACACTACTGAAACGCTCTCACACACACTACTGAAACGCTCTCACACACACTACTGAAACGCTCTCACACACACTACTGAAATGCTCTCACACACACACAACTGAAACGCTCTCTCACACACTACTGAAATGCTCTCACACACACTACTGAAACGCTCTCACACACACTACTGAAATGCTCTCACACACACACAACTGAAACGCTCTCTCACACACTACTGAAACGCTCTCACACACACTACTGAAACTCTCTCACACACACTACTGAAACTCTCTCACACACACAACTGAAACTCTCTCACACACACTACTGAAATGCTCTCACACACACACAACTGAAACGCTCTCACACACACAACTGAAACTCTCTCTCACACACAACTGAAACGCTCTCACACACACTACTGAAACGCTCTCACACACACTACTGAAACGCTCTCACACACACTACTGAAACGCTCTCACACACACTACTGAAACGCTCTCACACACACTACTGAAACGCTCTCACACACACACAACTGAAACGCTCTCACACACACTACTGAAATGCTCTCACACACACTACTGAAACGCTCTCACACACACACAACTGAAACGCTCTCACACACACTACTGAAACGCTCTCACACACACTACTGAAACGCTCTCACACACACAACTGAAACTCTCTCACACACACAACTGAAACTCTCTCACACACACTACTGAAATGCTCTCACACACACACAACTGAAACGCTCTCACACACACAACTGAAACGCTCTC